GATCAACCAGATCATCAGCGTGAACAGCGTGCGGTAGTCAGCGCTCGCGGCGCTGTGCCGACCGTGGTGGAGCCGGACGCCGCCACTGAGAGGCGCGCGCGATGACATGTGACGTCAGAAGTTCGTCGGTCGTGGCGACGCAGTCAGCTGGCCATGAGGGGAAGTGGTCTCCACGGGGCGGCGGAGTGCGAACGTTCATAACCTAGAGGCATTTGTTGTGAAGCGGTCTCACTTGTTGGTGGTGCACGGCTATCTGGCACGAGAGAGGCGACAATGACACTTTGCGCAGCCTTACTGCACGGCGGACACGAGCAGAAGTTTTAACTCCTCTTTCCAGTGGTCCATCGATGTGTACTCATCAAACAGTTGACGTCGTTTTGGTGCATTTACTTATCCTTGTTTGAGTTGTGGATGTAAAACATGTTTTAAAAATGTTCGACGCCGCAAGCAAAGGTTGCAGCGGGTGTAAATGCTCAATATCCATATCAAAGCCAGTATAGTTTGGCCTATTGTGGCTGCACTGATGAATGTAAGCTCTATTGAGGTTGCTAAGGGAGTTTTATTTAGATCTGGCCTATGGGTGTTCTGTCAGCTATATGTGTTAGTCCACATCGCAGGCGCATCAGCTGTTTTGAGTGGTGATCTGCATTGTTGTTAGTTTTCCGCATTTCTGGCGTACTGCGTTATTTATTTTGTCACCAAAACAACGTTGCGTGTTACGGAGAGGTTGCTTCAAGTTTTTGGTGGACACCCATGATTTTTGTTTCTATACCCTGCCTGTAAACTGGCATATCCATCACTGTTCATCTTTTCACGGCTGTACATTTTTGTTTACAAATAAAAGCAGGCTATCGGTGGTTTTCGTTGTCCAAACATCTGTAGTTACCTGCTGCTAACAGTGTGATGTCTTGTGTTTTCGGGTTATGTTATGCAGAGACGTATATATATATATATATATATATATATATATATATATATATATATATACGTATATATATATATATATCTCTCTCTCTCTCTCCCTCTCTCTCTCTCTCTCTCTCTCTCTCCTCTCTCTCTCTCCCTCTCTCTCTCTCTCTCCTCTCCTCCTCTCTCTCTCTCTCTCTCTCTCTCTCTCTCTCTCTCTCTCTCTCTCTCTCTCTCTCTCTCTCTCTCTCTCTCTCCTACAGTTGTACCGATAGACCTTTGGCCCAACGTATTGTTCCCCCCTTATTTTGGAATCGTCTTTCCACCCATTATCCCATCACGTAGTGACCTTCATGGGTTACCGGGTTCTCTGCTGGTTACCTCTGAGGCTAATAACCCCATCTGGAGTGGAAAGTATTGTTTAGCATAACCTCACTTGTAGGTGTTATGACTCCGTTTCAAGAGGTTTGATGTAGCTTATGCAAGTTCCAGACCAAAAGCATGTTGCTAGATTCTCGTATCTCCAGCATAAAGCATCTACGAACCGCGGCGCCTGCACGGATCTGGCATCAGAAGCAGGCTTCCTGAACAGCGGGAAATATATATATATATATATATATATATATATATATATATATATGTATATATATATATATATATTTGGCTTCAGGCTATATATATATATATATATATATATATATATATATATTCCCGCTGTTCAGGAAGCCTGCTTCTGATGCCAGATCCGTGCAGGCGCCGCGGTTCGTAGATGCTTTATGCTGGAGATACGAGAATCTAGCAACGTGCTTTTGGTCTGGAACTTGCATAAGCTACATCAAACCTCTTGAAACGGAATCATAACACCTACATGTGAGCTTATGCTAAAAAATACCTTCCACTCCAGATGGGGTTATTAGCCTCAGAGGTAACCTGCAGAGAACCCGGTAGTCCATGAAGGTCACTACGTGATGGGATAATGGGTGGAAAGACGATTCCAAAATTAGGGGGGGGGGAACAATACGTGGGGCCAAAGGTCTATCGGTAACAACTATAGGAGAGAAAGAGAGAGAGAGAAGAGAGAGAGAGAGAGAGAGAGAGAGAGAGAGAGAGAGAGGAGAGAGAGAGAGAGAGAGAGAGAGAGAGAGAGAGAGAGAGAGAGAGAGAGAGAGACCGATTTCTCTATTACGAGCGGAGAGAAAAGGAGCATGTAGATCTATGCTCAAAAAAACCTGAGAGGCAGATTATGCTAATTTGATGTCTAATGCCATTTTGTACTTCAAATGTTATTATTTGGCATCAATCCATTCGGAATTAATTTATTTGCAAATTATCTGAGAACTAAACAATGCGGATGCAATATACAAAGCGGCCTAACCAAGCCTGATTGCAAAATCAAAGCTGCTGCATCGTAAATTTCTCATTTTTGATACTCTTATTTGACCGATTTCCGGAATCCACGCCAAATCTATGAACTGATTGTTGCGTCAGCCACCCAATCGAGAAATACAAGATCATTGGAAAAGTTGAGCGGCGAAAGCCTGGCGCGCCGCAATGTCCGCAGTGCCCGCAACGCTCGTATTGCCCACTGAGTCACGTGACTTAGTGCGGCCGCTGCCGCCGGCCGCCCGCCACCAGCCACCTGCCGCAAAACATCCCAGTCAGTGGCAATAAATCATCACGCGCAGCATTGCTTTAAACATTTGTTTTGCTGCAAATGTGCGCAACTTATGTTTCTTGCTGCACAAGTTCATGCTTAGTTTGTTTACGCTGCAGCTTCATGGTGGTTCGAGTTTAACGCATGCCGCGGTGGACACACCACTTGACGACGGAAAGTCACAGCAAAATAGAACAGAGTGATGGGTGATGCGAGCTTACGAAACAGCATCAAATAGGCCTGCTTCAACCCAAGCTTGCATGACATGACATTTGAATTCACAAGGGACAGGTTCCCGGCATATCTCCCGAACAAATCCACCGATTTATCTGCTCTAAGCGACAGGAGATACCCCTGGATCGCACGTCCCCTGCATATACAAGCGCGTCCAGCTGAAAGTCATTGCTGACCTCCAACAGGTAAAGAGCACGATTCTTGGGAAATTTTTGTAACGTGCGCATCGGCCGGTATTCAGCACAGTGATCCAGCGAAATTGAAATGAAAGAGATGAGCATGCAAATCCATCAGGCAAGTACTCAGTTGTGATGCAAACATGAGTACGCTTGCTGCGTACAAAACTCAATTTGTTGGATCATGCCCGGTGCCGTCTCTGGTCAGGTGTTATCGAATAATTCGGCCTTTATTTTAAGTCCATGCCACCTAAATTGGGAACTGGTGCGTAACATGCAATGTACAGAGATGCACACTACATGTACCTCAAGTTCAGACAACTATCTCCAAACGCTTATCATGCTCCAACGGCCTGCTTGCTCAATAGACGATAAGGTAGAGTTACAGTTTCGGTGAGAACAGATATTCGATGAGTCTGTTTTAGCGAACCCTGGACAATTGATGGGACGCTGTTGGGTGTACTCCGCACTCTAAGATGGAAAGATGCTTCTCTTTGCAGCACATTGGCGTGGACTCTGCTTGAATCAGGGGCACGGACAGTATCAAATCGTCATTCGCGGACATAGGCACGTTTTAAAAAGAACAAACAATACAGCGCTTCGTTGTGTGATGTCATATCGACGTGGCCTACCACGACCTAGGTTTGAACTGGCCTACCATGAGGCAATGACAGCCGCTGTGAGGCACTAAAACATTGAAGTTCCAACTGAGTATGTCCGAACGCCATCCGGGAACTCGACGCCCGGTACGAGAACTCGATCACATCATCGTGTAACCCATAATGACCTAAACTATGAACTGGTTATTGTCAGAGGATGTCACATATAAACATTACAAGCAGATGTGGGCCCGAAAAATGACCAGGGATACAAAACAAGGTTGGAAATGAAATAATCTGCGCTGCTAGGGATGCAACTAAGGAATCTAGATGAATGAACGCAAAAAAGATTAGCTGCGGTCTCAAAGTCGCACACAAGACATTATACATTGTACGTGGCACGGGCAAGGAAGAAGACACAAACACACATTCAGACATGGACGAAGACACGAATATAGCTACCAAACACCGAATGAGTGCAGAAAACACGGGTACATGCACGGATGCGATTCCAGAAGCAAGGAAGCGCACAGAAACGGATGCCAACACTCACGTATGTACAGGCACAGGCGCATACACGGATTCAAGCAGATTCAAACAGACACAGATACGGAGCAAAGTCAGCAGCGTACACAGATCTAAAGAACGATGAAGAAGTGGCCGCTGAATCGGACCAAGACACCGGCTCAGATACGGGGACTGACACTGACGCGCACGCAACCAGAAGCGCAGACCCAAACGCGTGCACAGGCGCAGACACGCGAGCGGCATCACGAACGCAAAAACAGGCCCAAACACGGACGCAGGCACGGACAAAAGACAAACGCAAGCGTAGAATCAACTGCGGACGGTGCCACGGATGCAGACAGCCTCAACCACAGACGCAAACACAGGCACAACCACAGACACGCACATACACGGACGCAAACACGGACACAGACACGGACGCAGGCACAGACAGCTGACACAGACGCCGGCACTGATGCGAACACGAACGCAGACACAAACGCAAACACGGACACTGGCACGGACGCAAACGCGAACGCAAACACGGACGCAAACACGGACGTAGACACGGACGCAGACACGAACGCAAACACGGACGCAGACACGGACGCGAACACGGACGCAAACACGGACGCAAACACGGACGCAGACACAAACGCAAACACGGACGCAGACACGGACGCAAACACGGACACAGACACGGACGCTGGCACGGAAGGGGCGCGGCATCGGCGACCAGTCCACACCTGAGGTGGCGGCGGCGCTCAGTGAAAGGGAGAGCGTCCAACCTGTGAGCTTCAGTTGTGCCGGCCGGACCACGCCACGCGCTGCCGGGCCGCGCTCCGCTCTAGACCTCACTTGGCCCGGCTGCCAGCAGTGGCGGAGACGGCGGCGGGCGGGGCAGGCCGACCGTGTCACCGACGGAGAGCGACGGCGGCCGGCTGCGACCGCGGCGGAGGCCTCGGCTCTTGAGCGTGACGCCCCGACGGCGAGGACGGCGGCGACTCGCGTCACTAACGTGACTGACGGACGGCCGTGACGGAGGCGAGGCCCGGTGGTGCCGGCCGCGGGTCATCGGTCGGGTGGCCGAGGTCAAAGGTCACCGCCTCACACGGATTACCGGGGGAATCCCGGAGACCAGCAGCGATAGAGGACGACCCGTCTGTCATCACTCACGGGGTCAGCAGGTGAGCATGTCCGCTGTTGCAGAGGAGCGGCGGGAAGTGTGCCATCGGGTGCAACACCCCACAGCGCAACGTTCGTTCCCATGTAACGAGCGATTGGTGTATCGGTGTTGGTCTCCCGGTGCTCGTTGTGGCGATTATGAAAACTGAACGGTGAAAACGGGTTCGAGAGCACGGTGCCATATAGAAAGCGATGTGATGGTGCGGTCTTGAGGTTTGGTACCAGAGACGGACTCGGCACAAGCGGATTTATTGTGCGGTCCATGGATGTAATAACATCGAAATTCTGGACTGTGTGCAACCATAGTACTTAAAACTTTCGCCACTGATGTTTGCCCTGCCGGCTGCTAGTGCAAGATTACGACATAGGCGCCCAACAGCATTAAATGTGTACGGCCGTCTTTCCACTTTCTGCGATTGCAAAACTTGTGCTGGTGTTAACAAAGACAGCGTATCTTTTAAATTATGCATTCAGTGGCTTGTTTAAGCCTGGAAGTCTAGAAGAGCGTTGAAACCTTTGCAGCTTTTTCCAATGATATGAAGAAAGCACCTGTCACAAATGCCCAGATCATGCAAATTGCGTGGACTGTTTGCTCTGTGTCAAGCTGCATACTGAACATTGCCTTGCGTTCAAACGTATTATTTAACACGCTTATGAAGAGTGAAACTCTTCCTGCCAGCTGGACCCTCACAGTTAAAATTCCAACTGTTTGAAATGATTGACACCGTTTCCACTCAAACAATAATGTCTCTGGAATACATTTTTTAGCAGACTGCAACAGGAAAACTGTTCTGCGATCACGGCACCTTCACCCGGATCACATGACCGACAGGCTGTTATTATATGCCATAAAAAGCCCACCAACAAAAACAGAACGCTCCAAAAAGTATAGTTCAAATGGTGTTCCGCACCACGCCAATTTGTGCGCCCAACGCAATGCAAATACTTATCGCGATCTTTTCGACGCGTCCTGAATTTAAGATTCAAGAGAGCGCTGTGATATGCAATGTGCAGAACAGTGAAAGTTGCCCTAGCAGTCCACTCCCATGGCAGAGACAATACAAGTATGTGCGGTTTGAGCTAAAAAAAAACTCTCGTTGGTCACGCGAAAAAGCTGATATTATATATTAAGAAAGAGTACGGTTATCACAGGCATGATTGCTTTAACCGTGTAGATAATACCAGAAGATAACTGTATGCAGCCCGCCACCGTTGTGACACCGTAACGAGCAAGATCTGTGAATGCATTGGAATACCCTCCGTACATGAGTTTTGTAGACAGAGGTGGACCGATGGTTAAAGGTATGTATATTCACATACAAACTCACGAACAACGTAATGTAAACACTGACTGGATAAATGTAGCCAGGCGTGGCAGTTTCAGTCGATGAAATCGATGAACTTACACCGATGTACATTTTTTGGCAATTGCACCCACAGTTCTCCCATCGTGCAGCTCTTCTGGGCATATGTCAGTGACAGTTAA